TTTGGACCCCTTTTTGAGAATTTGACCCCACTTGGGGTCCTTAATTGGAATTTTCCCATATTTTTATAAAGAGGGAGAGAATGTGTGGATGGGTTTAGTGGGTGGGTTGGACATGGGTTCCAAACTCAGCCCATTTAGACCAATTTATCTTTAAACTTTAAAATTTAAAACCTATTTAAGGTTGACTCTTTAAAATTAAAGTGACCCATATATGACCCATTTATTTTTAAATGGGTCATATATGGGTTTAAGACCCATTTTGACACCTCTAGCCGGTCCTCATCTATGGCTAGCGATGGTCGGCTGGCAACCTCGCTGGCCAACTAGTTCTTGGAAAATAAAAAAAAAGAGAAAAAAAATAAAAAAAAGACATTAAAAAAATTATCAAAAAATTATAAATTTTGTCGTCATCAGTGCCGGTGGTACCATGTAGGACTGCCGGCATCCACGTTAGCGATTTCCGGCCTAAATTGGCCGGATGGACTAAATTGGTATAATATGAAAATGTTTAGGACTAAATTGGTCCAATTGAAAGGTTTATAATTGAATTGGTACCAATACAATAAGTTTATGACTTTTTTGGTATTTTTCCCAAGAAAGAAAGAAAGAGATGAAAATACTCGAATAACATAGATGGGTGGTAAATTTTTAACACTGAAAATGTTACCCGAGCGCATTTGTGGCGACAAATTCATGAGATCGTGAAATAATCAATAGTCGATCCATGACTACCAGCGATAAGAGAGTTGCGATCGACGAGAAACATTTGTTGTTATGAACATTAAGTGAAGTTAGCTAATATTAGGGTGCGTGATTCAGTCAGAAGGCCCCTAGTCTTGAGATGTTCTAATCCGTCTTGAGGATGTTTGACCCAACGGTAATCGGTAAACCTCTTGACATATCCAAAAAGTAAAAGAATAATCGGAGAACAGTTCACGAAAAAAGTCATAAACTTATTGTATTGGTACCAATTCAATTATAAACCTATTGTATTGGTACCAATACAATAGGTTTATATTATTGTATTTTTGTCCGAAAATTAATTCACGAGAGATAACGAGTGCATTAAAAGATTCCAAAATTTAAGATGAAAATGAAATCAAGTCTTAAAATTTTTGAAAAATATAATTAATTTCTAAATTTTTTCAAATTAGGATAATTAAGTTCCCCGTTAATTCCATCCAATTAGGCTAATAAAAAATGCTAACGCAGCTTTTTTTTTTTAAATTTTTTAAGACACGTGGCGCCTACTAAATGTCATATCAAAAGAATACTTGAAAATAAAAAATAAAAAAAACAGAAAAATAACTAGTTCATCCAAATTGAAAGGAGTTTTTACTGTTCGTCTTCTTAGTTGGTTAACTAAGCAAAGATAATGCAAACGATTGTTCGGCAGTTAAACTAGAACATATAAGAAGATCCCTCAACAATTTCATGATTATTGTCCTCTAGATGAATATACAGTTCATACAAGAATTTCCAAAATATCCTAAGCATAACATGTGACCTCTAATACGCACCATGTATCCTGTCCAGCCATCTTGATTTAACGATTTCGAACGTTTTGTCGCACGAGCTTAATTGCTACTAATAAAAGATGATTGTGGGTGCGGTGGCTCGCTAGGCTCCTCTAGTGCCAGATGACCTAATGGTCCAAATGGACGGACTTTGGTAAGTAGTTCCCTTCTTGAACTCGATTTGCTCACCTAGGCATGGTCAGATCAGACTATTTGCGTGTGGAGAATTTAATAATCTTTTCATGTTGAGTGGGCAAGGGCATGGATCTTTAAATCCAGTGCGTTAAGCTCAAATCGCCCAAGTCTGTGTTGGGAGCGCGCAGCAGAACTACGACACATTCAACCGAAAAGATTACTAAGAGGGAGCTTAGATCTAAACTTATTAACGCATCTAGTTGGATCCATCATCACTCAAAAGTTTAAGTTAATGAGTTATGGATCAACTAAAAATCATGATATTTATTGCTTGAGGTATTCACCAAACATCGAAACAAATTGGGGTTGGTGTCAACCATCGTCTCGCAACAGATTGGGATTGGAGCACCAATCAACCATCGGCTTTAATACCATTTGTTGTGAGTGTGCCAAGAGGGAGCCCAAGTTCGAATTTATCAATATATTCAATTGGACCCACATTCACTTAAAAACTTAAACCAATAAATTCTGGGACAACTAAGATATATCAATTGCTCTACACCATATCAATTCTCTAATGCGAGACTTCCTTAATACAATCCACACGTGTGTCTCAACAGCCTGCTCATTAATTGACATGCCCGCTGCCCCCAACTTCTCCCCTTGCTGTTTATCTCTAGCAATCTTGGAGTTGGCGATGCTCTCACCTCATCTATAAGAATCTCCTTCATTTATTAAGGACCCAACGTCGTGAACACGGGAGAAGTGATCACTAGACGAGCTTAGATATGCTTGCTCCAGGCGACGGTGAAAACGGCATGCTCGAATGATCCAGCTAGGGCTTGCCGAGGTTGGGGCTGAAGTCGCCATTCCTAAAGCTCACTCGTCAATTACTTCAATTGTTATGTATAATCATATCAGCTTGGTTAGGAGCGGAGTGTACTGAGCAAAGCCATTTCTCAAACTCACCTAACATTTCACTTTCGAGATCGGCCCCATTAGGGAATAACTTTGCCAAAGCTGGTTTCAGGTGATAAACGGGTTGATTGCTCCACATCCTTGGGATGGTATCGTGGGGGAGAAGTTGATTCATCGCAAAGGTCATAAGAATCGACTCTTCATAATCGCTTTCTCCCCCTAATGTCAAAGAAAGAAAGAAGGGAAAAGTACCAAAAAAGTCATAAAATCTATTATATTGGTACCAATTCAGTCCGTCTGGTCAATTTAGGTAGGAAATCGTTGACGTGGATGCCGGCGGTCCTACGTGGCACCGCCGTCGGTGCTAACGTTGACAAATTTTATAATTTTTTAAATGATTTTTTCAGATTTTTCAAATATATTTTTTTCTTTTTTTAAATTAATTTTTCCTTTTCCCATAACTGGTTGGCCGGCGAGGGTCCCCGCGCCCTCACCTAGATCCAGGCAAGGGCACCACGCCCTCGCCTGGTTCGGGCGATGGCGTTGCTTCCCTTGCTGGGCAATAGATGAGGGTTTCGGCCCTCGCTCGGGGCCGACGAGGGCGCGGGGGCCCTCGCCCAGACTAGGCGAGGGTCGCCGGTCCTCATCTATGGCTAGCAATGGTCGGCTGCCAACCTCGCTGGCCAACTAGTTCTTGGAAAATACAAAAAAGAGAAAAAAAGACATTAAAAGTTTTTGAAAAAATTATCAAAAAATTATAAATTTTGTCGTCATCAGTGCCGGTGGTGCCATGTAGGACTGCCGGCATCCACGTTAGCGATTTCCGGCCTAAATTGGCCGGATGGACTGAATTGGTATCAATAAGAAAATGTTTAGGATTAAATTGATCCTATTGAAAGATTTATGATTGAATTGGTACCAATACAATAGGTTTATGACTTTTTTGGTACTTTTCCCAAGAAAGAAAGAAAGAGATAAGCTGGCTGGACACCTCGGTTACCAAAAAAAAAAAAAGATATGAAAATACTCGAATAACATAGATGGGTGGTAAATTTTTAATACTGAAAATGTTACCCGAGCGCATTTGTGGCGACAAATTCATGAGATCGCGAAATAATCGATGGTCGATCCATATCTACCAGCGATAAGAGAGTTGCGATCAACGAGAAACATTTGTTGTTATGAACATTAAGTGAAGTTAGCTATTATTAGGGTGCGTGATTCAGTCAGAAGGCCCCTAATCTCGAGATGTTCTAATCCGTCTTGAGGATGTTTAACCCAACGGTAATCGGTAAACCTCTTGACATATCCAAAAAGTAAAAGAATAATCGGAGAACAGTTCATGAAAATATTTTAGACTCGATGTCCATAATAATTTGGATTTTGGAAGGTCTTGAAAGAAATATCGGGATTTTGGTTTTTGAAATAAATCGCGGTGCCAAGTTAATAAGGTCGAAATCATCTAAAAATAATAAAGTCAAAATAACAATTCTGAAAACATCTAATAGCGAGTATATTAAAAAAATTCATAATGACTCTACCACGGGCAACAATAATGCGTCCTTAATGAGATCTCCCCTTTATGTTGTGCGTACACTGGCCGATATTGGATAAATGAAATCAATCTAATGTATATATTTTTTGGTCAAACAATCTAATATTATTTAAAAATTATACATTTATCATGAAACGAGATCGCTCGTAAAAGCAAATTCTCTGCATTATTATTATTGTTGTTTCCGTTTCTACCGGCGGAATTTTATAATAAATTGCACGGTCTATGCTTTCCACTTGCCTTTATTTTCTTATACTTTATAAGTGAGGTGGGTCATTTTTTTGACTTTGAATGAACCTTTTTCCCTAAAAGCGGCTTTTGTTTCAATTGAAAAGCGAGCTGGACAAATGCAGAAGTTAGGTGATCATAAATCAAAAGAGCCCATTACAGAGCGACAAGGAACTTGAAGCTGGCTTCATTGGACACGACCAACGCGTACTGCTAGTTTGCTATGATTGGGCACATCGCATTAAATTGCGTGCGTCGAATGGAACCTATTTTCTACTCGATGCCCGACGATTGATGTTTAGACACATCATCCCTAAAGAGTTCTCTTATTGAATATATTCACTTCAAAGCACAGAAACGTTGATTAGTCGGATCTTTGGCTCGACTGATTCCACGAATGTGCGAGAACTGTTCTGTCCATGTGAAATGTGGAATAAGATTACCCGTAACCGATACGGCTTTAGCTTTGCTTGCCGTATTTGATCGGCATCGAGCTAATTATGATGCGTACAAAGTGGAAATTTGAGAACGACATAGAGATATAATCTTATTGAAGCGAGGTATGCGCCAACTCGAAATGGCAAGTCTCTACACACACGTAATCTCCGTGCGGTGCATTAAATTGTCGCTGATAAAGAAAGAAACTAGAGAGAGAGATACGTAGCTCTCGCATTGATGGGGAACAAGCAGTCGTTGACGAATCCGACACATCGAGATCATCGTGCACGATCGGCAGAACAGTCGACAGGCGAAAAAAATGAAAAGAAAGAAGAAAAAGCAAGACGAGAGCATTCAAGATTTGGCCAGACCAGGAGAGAGCCAATCGCGGGCATCGATGAAGTCGAGGGAAACGAAGGGCTTGGCCTCTTCAGGAGTGAGCTCCCTCGACCACGGTACTCGCCCGCCGAACGAAGCCCCCGGTCCCATGCACTTGTATTGCCCGTAAAACACCGTCCTGCATCGCACAGATTCGCATCACAATGGAATTATCTTTGATCCGTGCGAGCATTCTTGATGGATAAGGTGAGAAAACTTGCTTACATGTCTCTGTTCTTGTCGCCCCAGTCGTACCATCCTTTCGGGGTGATGATCCGATCCATGTAGGTGTGCGCGAAGACCACCCGGGAGAAAGTGCCCCACGCTCGGCCGAGGAACAGCGCGCCCGACCCCGTCACCTTGCACCCCATGAACGAGAACCCCGTCTCCTCCAGCAGGCTCTCCCTCTTCTGCGCTGTCACGGCTCCGTAGCTATCGCTCACGGCGTGCAGATGGCAGCCCCAGTAGAACGACAAGCCGTTCCCGAACACGAAGTCCACGGACCCCTCGACGTAGCAGTCCCTGAAGTAATGCCTTCCCACGTGGTCGTAGAGCGTGTCCTGTGAGCCAATGAAATGGCATCCCACGAAGGCCGCCGAGTCCGCGGAGATGCGGAGCGCCACCGCCTGCTTTCCTAGCGCTCCCGACGCGGGCAATGGGGCTTTGTTCTATCACAAAACGATTCGGATCAATGCCAAAAGAAAACATACCTCTATCAATAATAAAAACTGGGATCTGCATTCAGACCCCACAGTGGAAAGCACCTTGAAGGTGATGTTCTTGGCAATGAAGAAGGGAGAGTCGACAGCGAATGTGGCCGAAGCGAACGTGCCCAGTGGGCGACCATTGGGTCCGATTCTGTCTGCTGTGTCGCCCCACTCTACGACCGTCTTGTCCGCGCCTGCTCCTTTCACGGTCACATAAGCCATGGTTGCTGGGATCTCAACTTTCTCTCTATGCTCAATAAAAGAAAACGGAATTAGAGAGGACCAGAAAATTGAAGGTATGTATTCAATTTATAAAGCCCATTCATTTATCAACATTTAAGCGCTAACCTCACGCACATAAATTTACATGTAGATATACTTTTGTGTATATATATATATATATATATATATATATCAAATGTTGGGTGATAGTTACATTGGGCTAAGGGATTTTGGAAATGCTAAATTGTAACTCAAAAGCCTTTAGAATTGCGCTATTAAACACCTCAACTTGGGCACAACGGTTTCTTTCTTTTTTGGGGTCACAACAGTCTGCTTCCCTTTCATTAAGATCGGGCCCAATTACAAGACTAAAGGGGCTTCAAAACATAGTAGCTCCCTGAGGGGGAATGGGGGGGTTAGAAACCTACGCCTTTATAACTTAGTCCACTAACTTACCCGTTTCTTTAGGACATCGGACTAGACTAAGGTTTGGAGGCCCAAAGTCCTTTGGAAAAGCTGAACCGAACGCACTTATGATAATCCTTAAAACATTGAAAAGAGAGGTAGGGAATTGAATTTCAAATGTTTAACCTTGACAAAGTAAAGTGCCCAACTGTTTGTTAAAAAACAAAGCAACTGGAGAATGTAAGACGCGCATGTATTTTGTATTTTAACGAATCACTTATGCACTGTAATCGGTGCTGCTAGATGGGCAGACTTTATCATTCTAACGAACCTAGTGACTGGATCGCTCCTCCCACGGCTCAAAGGGCAAAACGGATTGACTTAGGAAACAATTTCATTCCTGAGACCGGCATGCCTAGGTCTGATAATTTCGTATAAAAGAATTTAACAATTTTTCAATCATCTGCTGGCCTTCGTAAGGAGTTTCAGGTTCGGCGCGAGGTCCTGCTCAGCCACGCCTTTGCATTGACCGGGTTTGTTTCGGACTATGTACAGTTAACACTAACCTGTAAGTTCCTGCACTAATGGAGATCACCACCCGGCAAGTATTGACTATCGGCACTGAACGAAGAGCTGCTCCCACCGAAGCAAATCCTCCTGACCTCGGTTTCTTGCTCACTCTCAGCCTCAAGCACGGCTTGAGCCTGTTCTTGGCCTTCTTGAACAGAGAACCATAGAAAGATGAGCCCGAACCCGAACCCGAACCCGAACCCGAACCCATCTGTCTCACCCAATTCCGATACCCTTCATTGATCGAGTCGAACGAGGAAGGAGTAGTGCCGATGGTGCTTCCAAACAGTAAAAGCAATAAGCAAAGCTTGGACAACATTGCTTGCATGTTCGTTGTGGCACTCTGAGAGACGTGAGAGATAAGAGGTAAGCTCTTTGGACAATGTTATCGGAATGACAGGTTTGTAAAGCAGAGAGGTGAGCTTCTGGACAACGTTTGAGTGTCTTTTTGTTTACCTTCTGCTGGTGCAACCCCATCGCTTGTTTGACCTTAGCAGCTGACTTTCAGACGACCCTCTTCACTTCTTTTTGTCTACTTTTGGTCTGTTTCACGGTCGATATTCATCGCCCTCAAATATGCCATTATTTTTTTTTTAACAACCAAATATTCCATTACAACGACGATATCCGAACACAATAACGCAACAACCCGATTACCTTGTACATTGGCAAGAATTACTATGTATTTGTGTCGTAATTCAATTTCTTTTGGACTTGTTCAATAAAAGTTATATACGATATTTCATATATCGGCATGAATTAACATGAAAATGTATAAAAGGCAAACCTAATACTAACATGAGTTTACTCCAAATTAGCAAAAAGAAAAAAGAAAAAAAGAAATATTTGGACTCTCCTCGAAACAAACAAATATTCTTTTTTGGCTGCCTAAATTCCTATTGTCAATTGATGTTCGAATGATGATACGAAGTTCGGATGATGCTTATGATACGTGTGGATTTTTGGTTTCGCGACATAGTTACAGAAGTCACGTGGAATTCAGGTTGTGCTAATCAAAGGTCCAAAAAGAGGGTTAGAGGAAAAATTGCTCCAATCATCCTTTCGATTGATGGATTAGAAGTTGCAGGCATCAATCATATCAATCATATGTAAAATAAACTAAATTATATTAATATGAGAAATGTCTATGGTTGTAATCCACTAATGAGAAGTGTGGTCGAATGAGTTTCCTTTCCTCCAAACATGAGGGGAAAGAAAACATGGCCATTATGTTGAGTCAATCTTAATAATCGTTCTCATTTTTCTGTCCATACATCAATTTACATCCTCACTTTTGAAAACCTACATTTTGCATTTTATATTTTGTTGCTAGATTTGAACTTCCTTGGTCTACCAAATGATCCTTATATATTTATTTATCAAAGAACCTCGTTCCCGATGACTCGGCTACTGTACCAAGGACTGCATGCAAGGAAACGTGTTCAGGAACCTCGTTCCCGATCTCCAGGCCGTCATTCTAGATCGGCACTCTTTCATCCACGAGGAGAGAGCACAGGAAGTTTGCGACCAAATTCTCAACTTCTCCCATAAACTTTATGTTGAATAGCAACTTTTGTTGGTCTTGATCATACTGCAGAAAGTTTCTCAGTGTGCCACTACCTCCCCCACTTTCTCTCCACTGTGCAGTGTACGTGCCAATGTCAGTCAACGAAAGACCGAGATCATTTGCATAGTTACGCGCTTCTTCGGTGCTTCATGGAACGAATAGTGCGTTTTCTTCCTAATGTCTTCCCTCGCTTCGCTAAACTTTAATCTCGAGCTTTCGGTCCATAAAACTCGCAGCTCGTTTCATGTCCAGCAACATATATTCACAGGCTGACTGAACAAAGCATGTCCAGTTCTCTTATGAACCTGAGTAATCATGTCTTCAAATGCATATGATTTGAGGTTGGAACACATGCTTTACTAGTCGCATGCGAGCGTGAAAGCACGCTGTAGACAATTCAGCGGCAGCGATGGAGACAAATTACACATAAACATACAGTTTGTGGGGAAAAGCAATCTAATTTCCTTAGAAAATAATAGAAGAAAATTATTTTGCTTTAAATCCTGTCCTACCTCTTCATCCCTTCGAAATTTTGAACTAATCTTTTGTTAACTTTTACTTTTTACCAAATCTGTATGAAAATACACAAAATTACCGAACCTCAAAGGCATTTTCTCTGGGAAAATTACCAAAAAGTCCTAAAGCCTTTTGCAGTTATGCCAATTCAGTCCTAAACCTTTTTTTGGTCAATTCGATCCTAAACCTTTTGCAAACCAGCCAATTTAGTCATTTTGGCCGGCCGGTGCTGACGTGGCCGCCGGCCGGCGTCCACGTGGCAATATTTTAATATTTATTATTATTATTTTAGAATTTTTTTTCTTTTCCTTCTCCCCTGTCATGAACATACACAAAGATTACCGAACCTCAAATGGCATTGGCTAGAGCTTCCCTCTTGCGGATCCTCGCCTAACTAAGTTAGCGAGTGCTCGCCTTACCCATTGGCGAAGACGAAGCTCGCCATGGCGAGGCGAGCTCCGCCTCGCCGGAGGCTCCCCCCCAGCGGCTCACCCTCGCCCGGGCGAGAGGCGAAACGTCCTAGCTCGCCTCGCCGGAGCTAGGCCCCCCCCGGCCCCCCCCCCCTCCGGGCCGGGGGGGGGGGGAAGAAAAAAAAAAAAACCAATAAAAAAAAAAAAAAATCGAAAATAAATAATAAAAATATTAAAATATTGCCACGTGACGCCGATCGAAATTTTGATTTGCAAAAGGTTTAGTGACTTAAATTTGGTAATTTCCCCATTTTCTGCTTCCCTTTCAGTTTTTCTAACTATTTAGAGTGATCAAATTAATTACGTAAGATTAGGAAATTTCATATGCAAGAAAATGTTTTGTGACAACCATTAGAAAAAAAGTGATTTTTGATTTGCTAAACTTTTGCTGTTGCTAAGCCTGACGTCTAAGTAATTTGCAAGTGAAGTTCATTTCCATAATATTTCTTTTTATTTAGCTGTCAAACCAGAAAGTAATGTCTAATCAAAGGATTAAAGACTAAACTCAGAGAATTAGTTGTATTATTGCATTAGTTGTGAATCTCTGTAATTCCAGTATGAAAAAAAAAATGGTAGGAATGAATAATCTCAGAGAATTAAAGAAATGAAATTGTTATTTTCGAGAACAATCTTATAAATCACCAAAGGTATTCGCGTTGATATTCGTATTATCATTCCTCTTCATAAACATGATGTAAAAGAAATATGACATTACTAACAAATTGAAACTCAAGTAGATTTGGGCAAAATCAGATAACAATACCGTTTAAAAATAATTTTGCGCTTGGTAAATTCAATTTTGTGGCTAACTTTCAAGATGTGGAGAACTTGCTGGATGATATTATGGAGATAAAAAGACAGAAAACCAACCACTTAGATTGAATATCCAGTTTCCTACTTTTATGAACCATAAGGCGATAGAGATCAGTTTTTTTTTACTTCTCTTGCGATTACCAAGCCGATGGCAACTTTTATTTAAAAGTAATTATAGAATATTTAATTATACATTAGTTCGGTCATACCACGATGGATATTATTACTAGGGAAAATTGTTCAAAAAGTCCTATAACTATTGCATTTTTGCCAATTAAGTCATAAATCTTTTAATTTTGTCAATCGAGTTATAAACATTTTCCTCTTTTATCAATTGAGTTCATTCGGTCAATTTTGACCAGAATTCGCTTACATGGACACAGGCCTTCTTACGGGACATGGCTGGCGTTAATAATATTTTGATATTTTTTTGAGTTTTTTTATTAATTATTTTCCTTTTTTTTTTTTCAATAGTAGCCGGCAAGGTTGCCTCGCCCTCTGCCGCAGTTCTGATGGCCTCGCCTAGATCTGGGGGAGGGCCGCGATCCTCGCTCGTGGCCAGCAAGGGCGTCGCTGCCCTTGCTCGCGACCGACTAGGGTTTGGCAGTCCTGGCCTGTCGCGACCTCCCCGAACCTGCCCCGCCGCCTAAGGGGTTAGGCTAATGGATTACTAAGTTAAACCTAGCTCGAGCTCTCCTAAGCCCATACCAATTCGCGACTTAAGTTTAAGTTGTTAACATGCAAATCAATTTCATCTAAGAGTCGCCATTAATCGATTTTTGATGGGTCGATTAGACACCCAAGTAAAGCACGGGAGAAATGCTTTACTTCTACGAACCAGAGATCCAAGGGGTACGGGGACTTGATTGCACTAATTGACCAATTAGTGCCCTTTCGGTACCTAACCTTGTTCAATTACCGCCTAACGTGTTCACACTAATTGGGAGTCTCAAAATTCGATTCCTAACCAAGCTAAGGGAAGCAACTGTCAATACCTGAACCTAACATGCATGGTCAATCACGTTTGAGGTTAAATTAAACACGCAATTTAAAGTGCACAAACCAAACAACGTGCAATGAAACATAACTCTAATCACATAATAGGGCAAGAAAAACCAATTCCAAAGTCCAAATAAAACTTTTGATTTTTTGGAATTTTTTTAAAATATTAAAATAATAATATAATATTAAAAATATTATAAAACGGATCCGGGTCGGATCTCCACATCCGACCTGAATAAAAAAAATATTTTTTTGTAATTTTTCTTTTTTTAAAATTTTATTTTAATATTAAAATAATATTAAAGTAATATAAAAGGACCCGGGTCGGGTCTCCACATCCGACCCGGATCGGGACTGACCCGGGCGCGCCGGCCCGGGTCCAACGCTAGGTGGGCTCCACGAAGGCCCAACTCGGAATAACCCCGAAATCAAACAAGATAATTAAATAAAAAAACCAAACCCAGCCCACTAGGAATAAATAACTCAATAAACCTTCAGCCCATTCTATCTGGTTTGGCCCACCCACGGAATAGCCCAATGCCTAACAAAATTCTAATCCTAAATTAAAGCCCAAACCAAAACCAAATAACCCTAAAACCGGCCCACACACTAAACAAAAACCCTACCCGGTTGCAACCCGTGGACCCGACTCGACTCGTGGCCGCGGACCCGACTCACTTGGAGTCCTAGTGCCCGCGACCCGACTGTCCAACCCGACTCGCCTGGCACCCCATTTTCATTTCTTTTCTATTTTTTTTATTTTTCTATTTTTTCTTTTTACTCTTCCCCTTTTTTTTTTTTGTTTCTTTTTCTTTTTTCTCTTTTGTCTTTTCTTCCACTCTTGCATGACTCTCTGCCCAGAACGTCCCATTCTTCCTTGCGCCTTCATCAACGAAGCCAACTCCACGGTGACTACGTCGGAGATTCCCACCGCTGGCCGTCGACTCGGGCTGCCAGCGTCGACGGCGGACGCTGGCCTTACGCCGTCACCGGTGGCCGACGTTCCGGCGACCGCGCCGGCGACTTAGGGAAAAACCACAACTCTCGGCCGGTCAACCAAACTTTTCCGATCGACAAATTTTAAGCCCCAAAGACAGAAACTAAGCCTAAATAAACGGGCGCACACGCACAGAAAAAGGCCTAGAATACTGACACGGTGGGACTCCAACCAAGGAAATAGCGGCTCCGATTTGTACGCTCATCCATGGCCGATGTTGAGAAACGACGGAGTGTGTCATGAAAATCAAAGGAAAGCACAAATTCAGTCACTATTCAG